TTTCACTCTCCGAAACGGTTATTCTTTTAAGCGATCTTCTGAAAAATTTGAACAGGCGCTTCTTATATAGGTACTGAATTCTTACGACCTTGGACGTAAATATCCCTGGTGATTTTATGTTTAATTATTTGCTGCCGCTGCCGCTTTGTCAAGGGCACCTGTCTTGCAGCCGCCTTGCCTGTCTTCGTAAGGTACCAGTCGATCACAGTGGCAGACATATTTATTACTATATTCGCCGCATTCAGTGGGAGTTGATACCACGAAGGCGCCACTGTAATTGGTGCCTCAGTAGACTTCCGGTGGTGCATTTCAGCAACGCGCAGTGATCGGGTAGAAGGTATTTCTGCGGAGAATTAAGTACCTGTAATACTTTGGTAAGAATCTGCGCGCATTGTAGGAAGTAGTACGGTTAGCAGAAGGATGCGAGGCAAAAAGAAATGAGGAAAACCGGAAGCGCGCATATGTGTGCCGATAGGTTGCAGTAGTGAGCTTGTATGTCACGACGGAATACAGCAATAAGCATCTTACACCCTGAAAAAAGGGCATCACCATACACTCTTTTGTCCCATATAATACACCCCAAAACTTCATCTCGACGTACAGCGCACTATAGTCGAACAGACCGCTCGAAATTTTACTTGGGGCTTGATAACGGTGCGATATAAGTTTTTGAATGGCTAAAGTATGTATCAAAGACCACAGAAAGAATACACAGAGTTTTTGCGGTAGGGCCAAGAAAACCTCAATTATTTTTTTTAGTTGTTTTTGTAGTCAGTAACACGTACATTAGCTGTTTTAATAGGTTGTACCACGCGGGTTTCAAGCCCCTCGTAAAATTTGGGGCCGTCTGTCCGACTGTAGGGTGCTGTACGTCGAATTGAAGTTTTGGGGTGTATTATATGGAACAAAGGGTGTAAGAATATACCTTTTTTTTTTTCTTAGAGTGTACAGTGATATACGAATGAACGGAGTGATGCCGTATACCGTAATGCCACGAATTAACTCAGTGAAAGACATCTCTACAATAACATTAATAGACATCTGTACTACTATAACAGCTTAGCTTAGGCCCCTTAGCTGAAGGTATCTGTAGTAAACGGCGTTCTTGATCACACGGTAAATAAACGGAGCAGTTTGAGTTAATGTCGATTGCATTCCTGCTAAGCTGCGAGAAGAGTTCGTGATAAACAATTATTCCTCGAAATCGGTTTGACGCGCAGTGTTTGATTATTGTGTGTGGAATGTCACATTTAAAACCTAAATATTATTTGTGTTCGCTTTTGCGGCACTTTTTTTCTTCTCTAAGTCTAATGGCGCACCTAAATGAGTCTTGCTTTAAAACGTCCGACCTGTCTGCGTTTACCAGTTCCATTGCGTCCGACCCGTCTGCTCCTCCGACGGGTCGGACGCGCCCGTCTGCCTGCGTCCGACCCGAAAACGTCCGACCCGTCTGCCTAAATCATCTGCGTTTACCAGTTTCCATTGCGAGGTGGGCGACCTTTTTCTGTTTACCAGCCCTATTTTTCCGGAAAGTTCTCACTGAAGTAGCTAAGTAGTGCCCGGCAGAAACGAACCACGTCGGAGTCTCACGGTTACACCTGTCACTCGATCGAAAGGGACGGACGACGACGAGGATAAAGGGTCCTGGGCGGGAGAGTCGGACGATTTGTCTACAACCTCGAAAAAGAGCTCGCATTGGTCCATCGCGTTCAGGTTCGTAGCAGACATTGTTTTCCACGTGCCGCCGCTGCTACCTTCTACCTGGAGATGCGGGCCTCGTTTATGTATTATTCCATCACATTTGTTCATAATTTGCTACTTATATATATTCAATTTGTTATAATGTATTAAACAAGATATATTTATATACCTTATTTTTATCTTGAGTTCGTGGTCCGAGGCTACTCCCTGTAGCTGTAAAAGGAGCTTGGCGAGCTGCGTTTAACAGAGGACCTCCCTTAGCGAAAGGGACCTTTATGCTCTGTGTGATCACGATCTCCAGCTCCCTTTACTACAGGTACCTGTGCTAAATTATCCTTACGCTGCCGTGTGAGTAGGGTATAACAGTAATATAGATATGTACTTCTGTAATAGTAATATACATTTTACTGCTATACCGGTAAGGGGTAATCTATAGTACTATAACAGTAACATACACCTGTACTACGGTTACAGTAATCTACATCTACAACTTTAAAGTCGCTACCCGTGGTGCGACTTTTCGGAAGCAAAGCGTGTTAACACCGCGGTGCGTCATATCCACCATGCCTCCTTTTTTCATGCCAAAGAGAATAATGTCTGGGTCGCTTTCGAAATCTAGCGCCGTGCGAAATGGTCTTTAGCACCCCCCCCCCCCCCCCAACCGGCCCCCTTTTCCCGACAAACCCTTCGCTTTTTATTATTTTATTTTTTAAGAAATACATTACTGTAGCGTTAGTACAGTTCACTCCAAATCTAATGTTCCGTTTTTGTTTTTATTCCATTTAAATTAACTGTTCTCGTTTTTTTTTTGTTTTTTTTTTTTTTTTTTTTTTAGATTGTTGTGTGCGGACTTTACATACGTTTTAAAGTTGGAGTCTACGCGGTTCGGACTGTCTACGGTGGCGGGCTGTACAATAATTCGTTTTCTTGAGATCGATTATTTGGACGAAACGTGACCGATTTTGCCAATGACAACTTATGTTAAAGATTTCCGTATTATACAAGTTTCTTTCTGCTCTAGCAAAGCTGGCATTTTTCCAGACTGTTCGACAAGAAAACGACATTTTTTCGTATACGTCCTGCGGAAGAACGAACGGAAAATCGTGCCATCGAATATCCAACGCTTGTTTTTCCGGCAGCGCTCGTAGCGGAAACCAGGTGTGAGGCAGCACGCTACGATGCGTGTTAAAGCCGTCTTGTTGGTTTGGTACCTCGGCAGAAGGAAAACGCAGCTGAAGGAAAGTGTGCTATGCGAATTTAATGCAACCATTATGTAAAGCCCCCTCTTTTTTGAAACATGCATCAGTACACGTGATGCATGCGAGCCCAGCGGATGGCATCCATGGGTCATCCGCTGTCTTTGAGGAAGTAGTGAGGTCATCAGCAGGTGAACGAGGCTAGGAAAGCGTGTGGCTGCTTCTGGCAGTCGTGGAGAACCTGATAAGCACGTAAAGCTTGTCTTCGTCGCCCGAATATGCTGCGCACATGCGATGATGTTCGCCCAGAAAACCTTACCAGCGTCAGAATATGTGATTGTTGTGCCACACGCAAAGCGAGCGTGGTACCAGGCGAAGTTAGTCGGCTGTTCGTCCGATTTTCGGTCCAGAGAGTGACCTTTACGGGAAGTATAAAACAAAACTAAAAAAATACGCGACCATTTTTTTTTTTAAGTTTCGCATGATTTTAGCATTTGGCATTTACTTATGCGTTTATTTATACATTAGTGGTAGAACCCGCGCGATCCGACATAAAATGAATCATGGGAAAAATTAATCTGTAGCCCATATTTCCTGCTCACTTCCCCAGCCTTTTTTTAAAGTGGCGATGCAACGATTTTTGTATTTTGCGCAAATACCGCTCAGAACGAATCCCTGACGTTAATGACCTGAGAAATACCCGTTCGTTTTTCACCCCACACAATCGAAGTCGCAGAAAATAAAATAAAGAAAATCGATCAGAATTCACCCCCTCAACTCGCAGCCAGAACAAGCGGCCACGTAGTCTGGAGCATATTATATGCCGCCAATGTTGATCATAGCCATGCGCTGGGGCTGGCAAGGCACAGGACACGCGCTGCGTTGTTAGACATTGTTATGGTTCGGCTGTTGTCGTCATTGCAGCGATTGGACACAGGACACTACCCGAGTGCTTCTCGAGCTATAGATTATCACGAGCCCAAATCGAGTGCCCACGCCATGCTCGGGTCCAATCTATAAGCCGCATTCAAATATCGTCACTGGGCGGTACTGCTACCGCCGAGCTACGTCATCAGGTTTTGCGAAGGAGAGATTGAATGAAAACGCTCGGTTTTGTCCTCGAAATTACAGCGCAACAAACGAGTTTCTTGGTCAGTGGCTTTGCGTGTGAGTATCCTTGAGTCCCACTAGTGCCTGTAAGCTCGTGTAAGGTGAAAAAAAAAACAAAAAAAAACATTCCAATAGAATATTGTTGCACCGCCCCTTTAAAAGAGTGTCGTGTAATATTTTTGCAGTGGGATTACCTCCGGTCTTTTATAAATATTGTAGTATATCACAAGATGTTTCTCCTCGTTCTGTCGAACTTCAACTTCCATTTTAACGGTGAAACTTCTACATTTTTATTTTAGCTTCCGTGATACTTAAAACAGTTTCAAAGGTCCACGAGAAAAAAAAAAAAAAAAGATACGCAGTCAGAAAAATAATAAAAACTGAAGCGTTTATTATGTTTTTCCTTTCCTTTTTGTCTGATTAACTGCCCCCTTCTCGTCTCTAACGCATGCGGCTCCAACAGCCGCAGTAGCGGGCCGCTCCAAAAGTGGGCCCCGACCTTCGCCAGACTTGACCCACATAATCTGGCCTAAACGCACGTTCTCCACTTTCCATCTCGCCCAGAGCGGCTTTCCCTATCGCGCCCCTTTAACCGTCGTTTAAAATCTGCCGTCCACTGTCGTATCGAATTTCGTCGACTCATATGAAGAAGTATCGCCTTCCCAAACTTCGCTGTTCGCCTCGTCGATCCACCAAAAAATGCCGGGGCCTCCCATTACGTTTCACACCCGGCGCGTGCTCGTGACGAGGCAAGCGCCCCTTTTTTTCTGTTGCGCAGTTCAACGACATCAACACAAACACGCTTCGAGGATGAGGAGAAGGTTGGCAAAGGAAAGAGATGATGGAGTGGACGCTGGATGGAGAGCGGGAGAGCCGCTCGCTGCTCCTCCGGCCTAGACGTCACGAGTGACGACAGGTGCGACGTCATGAGAACGTCACAATCAGGTGGCGAAGGAAGCCGTTCAGAGGGAGAGAGGGGACGGGGAAAAACGCCGAGTTTTTCCTTTGCGCTGGCTTCCAGCGCAGTCCGTCCGCTGCTTTCGTGTGGTCCGTGCCGCCCCGTTCGCTCGCCCGCAGTGTTGGAAGCATTCTCTGTTTGCTGGTGTGGCCCGCCTTGGCAGCGAGCCGCGTGCTCGGGAGAAGGTCGACAACGTCCTCGTGTGATTGTGTGACAGTTTGTCTTCGGCGTTCCTCTGCGGTGGGCCGAAAGGAATACGGGATTGGAACTTCGGTTCCCTTCGTCTCTGTTTGTTTTTCTTTCCTTCCCCGGACCGCGGGTGAGTTGACCCTGCTTTCTAGGCTGTTTATTCGCGTCTTGCCGGGAAAATCAATCTGGCGTATGGTCGGAAAACCTGTTTTATCTGTACGAGAGCACACGCGGGCAAAAATAATGTCACGAACAGCTGTTTGCCCGTTCGGTCCGAACGGTGGCGAATCGCGGAGTAGTGCGCCATTGATATCAGCAAAAATAAACTGAAACGTCATGCGTCGATATGCTTTTTCGATCGCCGCCCGTTCTTACGAATGTGCCGGCCTTGCAGTGTGTTGTTGGAATTCTTTATTTTATTCGTACGGGAGCAGAGGCGGGCAGAACCAGATTGTCACGTTTGCCTGCGTGGTCCGAACGGTGCACGAATTGCAGAGTAAACCGTCACTCGTATCAGCACACTCACAAAAAAAGAAAATCAGGTTGTACGTAATCTTTCGATATGTTTTCGATCGCTGCCCGCTCTTACGTATGCAGGTCTTGCAGTTCGCTCGCATCGTTGCGGGCGTTTACGACGACATCCATTAATTTTCCGCAATCCCGCTCCGGTCTCTGAACTGTTCGAACGGGGAAAGAAAGTTTGCAAGCGAACGTTTCGACAGGCCAGTGTCTCGGTCTTCCTCTACGAACGCTAGACCCCATCGTGCCTGATGATCTCTCGCGGGCTACGCTCACGACCCGAGAGCTGGTTCTCTCTCGCGATTGCTCTTCTTTCAAAACCACCGATCGCCGCCTCCGCCACCGCGTCCAAACGCGCCTTCACTAATCGTTCATTCGCTTCGAGACGGTCACACGCAACGTCAACAAAACGAGAGCGGAAAGCACGCGAAACGTTGCTCAACGTTTTCGGCTCGCGACGCTGGCCGGATAAACACGCGATCGGCCTTTCCTAACCTCTGGGGTCTTTCACAACAAACGCTGCACGGTGTTGCGTTCGATGTCATCTCACGGTCGCCGCGCTCTCGTTGAACGTCGCCCAGCGAGCGGTCGACTGCTTACTTCCTGGCGTTTATTGGTGCGTGAATCCGCGTTGTAGTCGTCGTGCCGTCGGAGCCGCAGGCTTCGACGACCCTGCCCTCATTGTTTCGGTGGGCCCTCCGTCGGCTGGTGGGGACGTCGTCGGCCCGTTCATGCGGACGCCCGCCGTCTTCCCATGCAACAGCTGTGTTCTTGTAAGCTTCCGTTGGCTGCTGCTACTGCTGCTGTCGCTTCTGCACGCGCCACCGCTGTTGCTTTTTTTCGGCGGGGGAGGAAAAAGGCGGTCGCGAACAGAACACACCCGTCTTGGGCTTCCGAAAGAAATCAAAGGACTAGTACAACGAAGGCCGTTGTTGTACGCGCTTCTTGGGTGAAGAGCGCGGCTGGGTTTTCTCATTTGAGTCGTTTGTGTGTGTTAAGTAGATAACCCCGCAACTGGCGTGTGTGTGTGTGTGTCTGTTTGCTCGAAGGGTTTCCGGCCTTTCGTATACATCTGGGGCTTGTGTATATACGTAGCGGGGTTTGAGGAGACTTGTTGCTCTTTCGTTTGGCGCTCGGAGCTGACAAAACAGTGCTGCATACTTTGACTGTGGTGGCATTTAAACGCGGATGACTGCCGAGGTCACGTTTGTTTGGTATCGTGAAATCGTTTGTGATTCTATAAGCCGATTCCTAATCTGCGGTTATCACCTGCACTTTGGTTCGAAAGGGATTCGACACCCGTGGAGAGAACTGCGGGATGCTCACTCGGTCAGTCAGAAAACGTCTCTATTGAATGAAAGGTAACATTCTCAGCACTTGATCATTGATCGATGTCATATAAACTGACGGGATGTTTAGTAGTATCACGAATGGTGCCAGAAATAAAATGTAAAAGTGTAGACTTAGACTTACGTGCTTCCTTATAATAACCACTATAAAATCAGTTTTTAGACAGTTGTTGCCATAATATGAATTATGGAGTGACAAAATGTTTCCCTTTACTCAAACCATTACAGTGAACTCCCTCTGGCTTATAGAAAGGTAGGACATTGGCCTCGCTGGTAAATTGCAGACGACACAGACAATGGAAGAAGGGAAACGTGGACTACAAACATACGCTATCAGAATAGCCTAAAAGGTTAACAGCGTAGACCAATTCACATCTTATACCAGTCAAAACGCACCGAAGATCGTTTATCGGTCTGATTTCTCGCGTTAGTTCCTCTAACCTGTTGGAAATCTTTAAGTGGACACTCGTCGTGCGAAAATCTCCCAAGACGGGACGTCTTGGGAGATTTTCAAAGTCGGCACTTTCGACTAACCAGTACTTCCAGAGGCCGCTGTACCACTTGTGTTCGACTTGTCACTAATCAATGTTTCACGCAGAGCTGAATGAAAACGCACTCAACCATTTCCGTGCCTTACCTCACCACAACGCTTATGGTCGTATATTGAGAAGTTAATCGATGAAAATAAAGTCACAATGAACGACCCGTTGCCAAATAAAAGATTAATTTTACGGCACAGTATATACTGTGCTAGAGTGTGGGGTCTGCAGTGGGTGGCAACCTCTTCCTTTCTTGAGAAACGACGGGTTAGAAAAGCGCACTTGAGAAACAATTTTAAGATTACGAAACTAATGGAAAATTACAAGTGCATCGTTTAGAGGCATCATTACGAATGATAACTGGTAACCGAAGTTCACAAAAGATTAAAGGAATCTGTTTTGCAGCTTCATCAGCTTTAGATTTCGCCGTGAATTCACTGAGTATATGTTGGCTGGTCTTCTCTGTATTCCTTTTGTTTGGTATATCTTAAAGATAAAAGAAATGAAGACATTAGCTACTCTAAATTGTAGCCGGCTACAACTTATATCGATCGATCTTTTAGAAACCGTGCATGCTAATGTAGTTTCGCGCTTCTCTTTACAAGAAGTAAAAATGTAGAAAGAAAAACAGCCGTTAGATTTTCCCTCGCGATGTTCACTTAAAAAACTTTAAGTGAACTCGTGTTCATTTAAAAAACCGTAGTATAAAAAATAAAAAAAAGGTCCTGTATCTTTTTTAAAGCGTTACAATAGTTTTTCTTTTTTTAATGTGGTACAGAAATACGGCCAGTCGCCCTGGACGTTATTGGCCGGTATCTGGCTCACATTTTTAATCTTTGTCTAGAGCCGTCCATATTTCCAGCAAAAATGCAGATAGCAGAAGTCGTAGTGCTTTATAAAAAAAGGTGATCGAAACGATATTAAGAACTACGTGTCACTGCTTCCTGTCTTTTCGAAAGAATGGAAAAATAGTAACAGTTAGAAGTAATTTTTATTACTTCAAAAAGTAATCAGATTACTCTTGTGATTACTAATGTAATCAACTGATTACAAAATTACTCAAAAAGTAATCGATTACAAGTACTTTGATTACTTGTAATGCGTACGGTACAAGACTGATTGGACGGAAAAGTGTGAGAGAGCATACCGAGATATGGTTCAAGCGATCTCCTCGGACCCTATCCTATCTTTACCAGATTTCTCACTCCAGTTCGAACTAAACACGGACGCCTCTCATTATGGAACAGGAGACGTGCTTTACCAACGAGACGCTAAGTAGCCCGCTCACAAGCAGCTTCGGGTTGTGGGCTACCACAGCTATACGTTCAACAAATCAGAGTTGAATTATACGACCACAGAAAGAGAGGAAATGGCAGTTCTTAAGGCTGTCCACTATTTTCGGTCGTGCCTGGAAGGGGCTCCGTTCAAGTTGTTCACAGACCACCAAGCCCTGACTCACCTTCTTACTATGACACAGCCAAAAGGCTGACTTGCGAGGTGGGTCAATGAGCTCCAGCAGTTCCAGTTCGACATTATACAGCGCCCTGGTTCACTGTTGACGGACGCCGATGCTCTTTCACACCTTCTTATTCATCTGAGTGACGGAAGTCAGGGAACTGTAAACCGAGCAAAGCTATAGGAGGGAACTGAACATCTATTCTTTGAAGAGGGCAAGTTCCAAGTACCTCCTTTAATGATTCCTACAGTTTTACAAGTGTATCATGACAGCCCAGAATCCGGTGGACACGATGGCTTTTGGCGAACCTACAAAAAGCTCACCAAGAGGTTCACCTGGCCAAACATGAAGCAGGACACAAGCGAAAAATTTCAGTCTTGTCGCGAATGTCATCTTCACAAGGCAAAGTTCAAGCAAGCTACAGACGTAATGACAACTCCGGAGTACTCAAAGGGACCATTTGGGGTTGTCCACTTGGACTTCGCAGAGGTAAAAAAGAAGAGCGAAGGAGTAAAACAGACGCAAGGCGTTTCTTATCTGTATTGATGAATGCACAAGAATGGTGGCCACTCGAGCTGGAAGAGAAGATGCGAACAGCGTCATAGCTTTGCTCAACCGAGAAATGTTCAAGAACGTCAAGGTAATAAAATCTGACAATGAACCAGCCTTCAGAAGCAAGAAGCTCAAACAATGGGCAAGACAGCGAGGTATTTCACTGAAGTTTTCTGCACCGTGTCATCCTACAGCCAACGGTCTGCTGAACGAGCAATTCGGGACATTAAGCATGCATGAAAATGTACCCAGATTTTTCAGGAGGCTGGAAGTGCTGTCCCCGACCGAGGTGCCCGCAATATGGCGGAGGCTTATTACGGAGAAGGCGCCGTGTAACCGAGCTTTCGGTTGCACGTCAAAAGATCCCCAGGTGGTCGAAATTAATCCTCAGTCCTACGCTGGGGCGTGCCAGATGCCCGTCGTTGGTTTGTCACGTAAAACCCCCAAATTTGACTTTGGAAGTGCTGTCTCGAAGCAGCTGTGTCTCACCACAGCAGATCGTACACGAAGGGCCTGAGATGCAAGCCGATCTTTGCGGCCACTGGGAAAGTTCCCTTTCTATAGGCCGATCATAAGCTGAGGTTCACAGAGAAATTGCGACTCACAGAAATACCCAAAATAGATGTCGCAAAACAAAAGTACAGGGGCAACATGAAACAAACTTTTGATAAAAGACACAACGCCGCGATACCAAACCTAAAGGTTGATGATCTCG